CCCTCAACTTTTACTTATAATTCTTCCACCTGGAATTTAATTTTGGTTACAAAATTATGTGATGAACTTTTAACCCCTTTCAAAACTCTAACCTAATGTCCAACAATTAGTTGGAACTTACTTTGAAATAAAAAACCCAAAGTCCACTTTTGTGTTATTTATTTCAATGAAGTATGTGTATTTTTTCAAGAAAAACAAACTTGCAATTACTGCAGTTAAAATATATTCCATTACCCTTTCATTTTTCTTTATCACTTTTTCCAGGGGTAACACTTTACCCCTGGAAATTGCAGACTTTACAATTATTTAGATCTTTTGTCTAAGATTTTTTTTTAAAGGTTTTAGAAAACATTTTGGTTTTATTCTTACTTAAAAAGGATCCCCCCCCCACTATGTTAGCTGATAATTGCTGAAATATGGAAAAGCTAATAATTTTCAACACATCTTTTTCATCTGGCAAGTTACTCAGTTCACTTTGTTCTCTGGTGATAACAGCTAAGGCACCTGCACATAGTCCTGACACCTTCTCAAGAAGAATCATTCTGACATGCACAGCCAGGAGTCTTAACAAGGAACTTAATCCACTGTGTGCCTTGTTTCTCACCATCACAGATTTGTACCATTCTAGGGAGCTATCCCTAAACCCGCTTTTAACAATTCACAGTCCCTGAGGGCACAGCCTACCTGCTGGATTTGGGCATTGTTGGGTCCATTAATATAATCTTCTAGCTCAGAGAGACGGCTAGTTTTAGCAAGGGCAAAAATAAGTTCTGTCTCTGTGTAGGATTCGCGGCCCTTTTTCCTGGCCATCTGTAGGAATTTAACCAGATCCTCCCAATTGCCTAAAGACAGAAAACAAAAACAGGTTAACTCAGAGCTGCTCAGTTTAACCAGGGGCTCAATTCCTCCCAGTCTGTCCTTAGTCAGGATGTTGACCCTTGAGCTCTGCTTCAGGAGGGCTCGGGCTCCAAGTAAGGCCTAGAAGGTCTTGGACTTTGCCCACTGAGCAGAGTCCTTTCCTAGGTGGGGGAATGGGGAAGGGGCAGAACCCATAGGAGCTGTCTAGGGGATGGGAACCCCACCAGGGGATGAGATACTTATTCCAGCTGCTGAAGAGGCTGGTGCCACAATCAACTAGAATGGCCAGAAGAAACTCTGGGTCTAAATCTCTTATCTTAAAGCTATTATGACAGTGACATCCATTGTGTTTAAATTGTATTGTCTTATAAAAGAGGGTAAGAGTCAACTGAAGCGCTACTGTCATTAACAGAATGACATTTATCTCACACTCTTTCAAAAAACTTTCATTCAGCTGTGTCTTCCTATGCATAACACATCAGGATTCCCAGGAGGGCCACACCCCTGCCTCACCAGGTTTCACCCAGTGAGCAGCAGAGCCCTGTGGAGAGAAGGTTCACTTACTGCTCCTGCTGGCTGCCTGGACAACTTCCAGGTAAGAGGAAGGGTCATCAGCTCTGATGTAGGAGTCAATGGCTTCCTTAACCAGGTCTTTCTGGAGCTGGGCATGGGCCAGCTGACTCCACACAGCAGGCTCATTGCATCTCTCTGCAAACTCGTAAGCACGGTCTAGGTTTCCAATGTGCTCGATCAGGACCTATGGGTTACAGGAGGGGTTCTAATTTTCTGCAACACCCAGTCAGCTTCAGGGAGCAGGCGGATTTTTGTTCAGTTCCAAATTCTGCCTAAAGTTGCATGATTCAGTCCAAAACAACTGGGCATTAAGTATTTCTCAGATGAATGAATGGAGGGAAAGGATGAGAGCTATAGCACAGGGAGAAAGATGACAGAGCAGAGATACTTCAACAATGAGGCATAAAAGAAGGAGAAGGCCAGGCTAAGCTTTTCGGGCCATGGGTAGGACACAAGATCAGGAATTGTCTTCTGATCTTGGGGGCCAAGACATCGCAATGGGGCATATAGGCTGTAAAGGTCCAAAGGAGCTGCTGTGGAAATGAGACAGCTCATCAGGCAGAAACAGGCTTGCAAGGCAGCCTGGAGGGGCCCATATAGTCTGAGCAAGGCCCATGTGGGAACCAAAAAGAGGGGCTTCTAGATTGAGGACTGACAGGTGGATATAGAAAAATGGTAAAGGAAGAGGCAAGGAAATAAGAAATATTGGTAAGAGAGCAGTTAAAATGATACGTCCTGTGGTTTACAATTGGTTTGAAAATAAAACCAGAAAAGACTGGCAGACTGGGAGGAAAGGAATGAGGATGAAGGGAAGAGTTCTTGGTGAGGTTGAAGTTAGGCAGGAGGGCTGGCAGGATTGCTCTGGGGAATTGAAGCAGGAAGTTG